CGCAATATGATTAATTAAAGGTGACGCTCGCCACCTACGAAGATCCCTCCGTCTCTCTCTCCTCCATCATATTTTTCCTTCTCCTCGCCCGTCCAACCGCCATTGTCCCTCTCCGTGCGCTAACCTACATATCCATGCTTTTCGGATTAACCGAGGAGAAAGAGAGAGAGAGAGAGAGAGAGAGAGAGAGAGAGAGAGAGAGAGAGAGANTCTATATGTGAAGTGGAAGGTTTCTCGGTGATAACCGACGCTTTGATTTCGCGAGTAACGATTAATTATAGCATTAACGACGAGAAGGAACGAAGGAGAGTTGGACGACGGAGAGTATCTTAGTATTGGTAAGACATTGGATGAATTGGATGGCTTTAAATTACGTTACGAGGAATGGAATCAACATTTTGGAATTTTGAAACGAGAAATAAGATATTATAAAGTATATATACTTTTTATCGGGCGGTTAACAAAGTTGAATTTTCATTCCTCGTACATTTCGATACGCTTCTCGCTCGAAGCGTTGGACGAGTGTTTCTCGAACGCATGCGCGGAGATTAGCTACTAATCTGTTTTATTTCGCCTTATGAATTTCATAGGGCGATCACGAGACACTACTTTTCACCGCGAGAGCGGGGCAATCTTTTTCCCTTAAAAGCGCGGAATAACGTTCCGTAACTTTTAGCACGAGGGAGGGAGGAAGGGGAGAGGGCGTGTTCCACTCTTCCCCAGCATGAATAGAAAGCACCTTTAATTAAAAAGGAAAAACTTACGACTTTACGACGGGAGGCAAGATTACGTAGGAACGAATAACGAATTTTCAACCTAACCTATGCGCATCTTCGGTATAGTAATGATGGTAATAGTAGTTTCCTTCGATTTTTTATCCCATGCATGCATGCATGCATAAAACGTTTCGTCGAGCACGTTTTTTTGTAAAGAGAAAGAAAGAAAGAAAATGTTTCGAAACCTCAAAAAGAGACAGATTACCCCCTCTTCTAGTGAATTTTTCCTCCTTCGACGCAGGAGGATAATGGATCTGTTTTCACGAGCCACGAACACGACAAAGATCCACTCGCCGGTTAAACTCGCCGCTAAACTCCTTCCTTCCTTCCTTCCTTCCTTTTATACCGACCGAGCGAACCTCTTCCTCTCTCTCTCTCTCTCTCTCTCTCTAGGTTGACCGAGTTCCCTCTCGAAATTTTCCTCGTCGGAATATGAATAAATTTATCGAAAGCCCGAAAGACAGTGGAGCGTGGCTAGCGTGGGAGGGTGGTTCTCGATGGAGGAAGGGGGGGCTAAATGACGGTGGAGGGGGAGCGGGTTCGAGGGGTTCCAAAAAGAGTTTGAAACTGCTCGGGCACCCCTATATTATAAATATCAGGCATGAAAGATGGCGCAGACAGCAGCAGCGGCAGGGAGGCGATGGGTATGGGG